TTAGTGGTGGTCGACAGTGATTGGTGAGAATCAATAACAGTCAGCGGCAGTCGACGACGGTCAATGGTGGTGACGATGGCGGTAGTGCTTGACAGCAGACGGTGGTTGTCGACGACAATCGTCGGGTGTCAACGATAGTCGACAATGGTTGACGATAATGGGAGAATATCAACGACAGTCGGCTGTGGTCCACGATGGTTGACGACGGTCAATGACGATCAGCGATGGTCGACAACGACCACCAGAGATCGACGATGACAGAGATGGTGCTAGACATCAGCTCCTTCTCAAAGTTTCATGTTCTCTCTCGAGCTTCAAATTCTCATTATCTTTTCATGAGAAGAGATGAGTTCTAGTTATAGTGTTCTGGGTACAATTAATGCAAAATATATGAATCATTTTAATAAGACGATCCAAAAAATTTCATTAGATCAGACAGAGTTTGATGGATATTTGAGTGTCTTAATGATGTCGTAATTGAGTGATCTAGGGCACGTTGGATTCGTACTCCTGAGACGCTCAATTCAACCATGAACTCATCGAATTTGAGATATGTTTGACCTTCTCAGAGTGACTAGAAATCTTCCAATAGCTTTTTAATAACTTGATTCAAACTGAAATCAGAGTTATGGATCAAAAAGCTACATCGAGATTCATGCCAGATGACTAAGATTTAATGATATATATCAATAAATATATAAAAGTATGTGTTATATACTTATAAATGTAAATGCCCAAACATATAGAAGTATCATTAATATCGATTAATTGAAAACAAAATACAACATATTTCATTATGATTTTGGCAATAAACTATTATAAAACAATGTAGAATTTAAATGTTATTTATATAAAAATGTGAAATGTTTGTGGTATATATGCGAATATCTCTAGTGGTTAATTAAATATTGTTCAATGCCATTTATCATTAGTCTTTTTAAATATTAAATTTATTTATTTAAATCATTTGTCACAAAATCGTTCTATTTAAATTATTGTTTTTTTTTATTTTATAACATATAAATGTAACAAAAAAATATGGGAAATTTACATGCATGCCATATAATTTTGTTATATTTGCATATTTGGAAAGCAAAGCTTAGTATGTACACAATATTTTTATGTCACAAACTTTGTTAGCGCTGGAGACCGCACTCCTCCCGCCTTCTATGTTTTGCGAAAAGGCGCCAACTCCCGCTTCTGCTCTCCCGATCGTGAAAGGTCGCGACCGCGAGCTGCTGTTTTGCGATAACCTCTGCTCCTGCCTCCAGGATCGCGAAACGACGCCATCTTTCGTCTTCTTTAAGTTGTGAATAGAGAACATGGCTCTCCTGTAAGTTTTTAAGTCACGGTTAGTGTTCTTCTTAAGTTTCCTCGAAATAGAGGAAGATTTTATTGGGATATAGGAAAGAAGGTGCAAGAAGTTGTTTCTTGCGGTGAAGAAGAATAAAAAAGAAGAAAGAGATTGTTCTCCTTTGACTTATTCTTGGTGGCTTGTGATAGAAGAGAACTTGAGTTTATTTCTCTTATAAGGTTATCTTCTTCGGTGTATCTCAGTGTAGATAGAGAATCATAGAGAGAAAAGAATAGAGAGCAACGAAGTGAAATATTCCTCTTGTAAGTCAATGTGATCGACTAGTGTAAATTCTTCAAGTAGTAAAATCATCTGCAACTCCATGGACAAAGACAATTTGTCGAACCACGTAAATCTGTGTGTTTCGCTGTGGTGTTACTGTTTTCTGGTGTGAATTTTTCTTGTTCTATTTTTCGCTTCGTCGTCGATTGTTCTTCTGTTTGATTTATATATATATATATATATACCACAAGTGGTATATATCTCATCCCAACAACAAACTTATCCATGATGTGGTGTATTTTAAGTTTAAAAATCTGAGTAGTATGCACGTAAATATGAAAGTTTAGTTGTTTGATATGTAAATACATAAGAATTGTGTGGCATGCATATAAACACCCACAAAAGTTGTACCTTACGATGTTATACGTTACCACAGAAATAGGGATACAAGGTTGGCGAGTATGGATTGCCGTAGGCGGAGAGTAGGGGTGGCGACGGTGGTCGGCGTCGGGCCAACCGGAGGTGGTCAATGATGACCATTGGTTATAGACGTGGGAAGTTATCGACGGATTTCCAATATGTGTTATGTGTTACAATCATATTTGAGATATGACGTTAGCAACTATGAGTCACCGACGACAGTTAGTAGAGGCGACCAATAGACCTTGACGATGGTCAGTTGCTTTTGGAGGCCTAGTGTTATCATCAGTCTCCAATACATTTGCAATGAAGGTTCATTGACGACGAGCGAGCAAAGATGATCAACGTTGGTCGACGGCGGGAGATAAGCGATGGTGGTGGTTGCGGAGACAGGAAGTTATCGCAATATTTTCAATCTAGAACATGCTCTAGAATTCATTCTCTTCTCCCCTTATCCCATATTGTTATTCCTTAATCATAATAGATTTTTGAATGATTTAAATGCATTAATGATCTCATAATTGAGTTAGCTTAGGCTCGCTAAAATCCTCTAATCTTCTAACTTAATATATTAATTATGATAAATTAGTCGTAAATAATCTGATTAGAAAAAGTGATTATAAGTTTTATATAATTTGAGATAAATTTTAAAATCTGTAAATTTCGAACTTTCTAAAATTGGTGAGATTTTTAAGCGACGTGAACTAAAGTTAATTAGGTGCGACAAAGATGAACTGCTACACTGCTGTCAAATGTTCCAAATGAATCATATTTATACATACATACATACATACATACATATATGCATAAAATTATAATGAATTTAAAATTTATTTTCTGATTTTTTTAATATATTTTGAAATTTGTTGACTTCGGGCGAATTTCAAAGGTATTGTTTTGTATAAATTGTCGTGCAGTGCCGCTTCTGCTCACCAACCATCGTCGTCTGCCCCACACTCACGGCCATTGCAGTCTCAATCGCCGCCAACCGTGCAACCACCCTTTGCTAATGTTAGGCTATGAGCTCAACGGTTTTGTGACATTTACAATTTAGTTAATTTTAAGGCATTAATGTGAAAATGTTATTAGTTACGAGTCAGTAAATGACTTACATTTTAGAGAAAATATTATGTCCAATAAATCAGACGTTTAGTTGATGGCGTGGATCGTAACACTCTGTCAGATATAGGGCGTGGTGCGATTCAAACCTCTGGTGAGTCATGAGTTAATGATAAGGGATTAAAAGCATATTAAAGCTCATGGGATCTTTAAGGGTCTGGGTGTAGGACAAGTGCTTTAGTTATGTCATTATAGCGACTGGTAATTTTATTTCTATTTTTTTCAAGAGGGGGTTTTTTATGCAGATAATAAACAAATTATGTTTGTGAAGTAAGTCAAAATGATAATTTAGAGAATAATATTGATAAATTTGTGTGCCAAAACCAACAGATGCATTCTCAGACACTCTACATTTAAATTTCTATGTGCATGTATAAAAATGTCAGCACAAATTTCAAGGCAGATAAACGACTCAGGAGGTCAATACTGACGATTGGGCATACTTGTTGACAACAGTCTTGAATTGGATGCTAGCAAGGGAGACGTATTGTCTGAACGATCGACAGTACGTGCCAGTAGATGTTTCTCAGGATGAAGTTCAGTCCTCAAGACAATCGACAGGAGGCTCTCTTTAGAATTAGATATCGATCGAGTTAAGGTTTACTAGATAATTAACAATTCTCATCGATCGAATTAGTCCCCGACCTTATTATATGAGAATAATTTTATAATTACCAAAGAGTCTTCAGAAAAATTAATAATCAGAGGGCTAATATGTACTTTTGTAATGCTAGGATATATGTCTATAAATTGAGGTTCATTTCATGAATAAAAAACACTCTCTTTTACAGTCCCCACTGCTCTCTCGTTCTTTTTCTTTCTTTCACGCATTACTTCCTAGTAGGAAGTTCTATTCATTGGGTGTGTTTTCCGGACACTTTTAGATTCAACATCCGTTAAGACCGGTAAGCATAAAAACATGTCGTCAAGAAGAAGAGGAGCTCGTCAACAACAAGCATGAGAGTCCAATTAAGAGAAAGTAGGAGAAGCAACATGGATGCATGAGTTTATGAAAGAATACATTAAACAAAGTCTGCAAATACGACAATGATTATTTTATAATTCATATTGGACTCCTTTATAATTCAAACTTTATATTTTATCCATCTTCACATCCACCAATGTCAGTATTCGGTAATCACTAAACAGCGTGGGACCCATAACATGTATGGCGGGTGTAGAACGGGGTGTGAATATTATGCCTGACAGAAGCCAAGGGAAAAGACTCTAAAGGCCGTCTGCCCAGCCTCACAGCAGCCGCCGGCGAATTTCGAAGCTCAGGTGAAGTAAGAAAAAGGTAATGAGTCCCTATTCTTCTTCGTTCTCGGTGTAGCTGTTATTGAGATTGGTGTCAGCTGAAATAGAAATTAGGGTTTTTATTTTCCTGTTGTTTTCAGGTTATTATAGATGCGATGTCTGTTCTTCCGATGAATTCTTTGTATGATTGCTCGATCTTAGTGGCTTTATATCTCTATGACATTTTTATCTCATAACATTAAACCTAACTTAATTATTCTGGGATGTTTCTAAATAAAATGCATCATTGAATTGTCTACTTAAAATAGTGTTTTTTTTTCCTTTTTTTTTGCTCAGAGATCACTTGGTATTTGGCGAGAGAACAAAATGCATGATCATAAGAGGTCTGGGGAGAATATTTTGGACAACATAATAGAAACCATTGCTGATGCTGTGCCAAAGCAGAAGTCTGGCGGATTCTTCAATGAGGGCTCTTCGGTCTCCGATAAGTTAAATAGCAAGCTAAACAAGCAATTTGGGCGCCAGAAGTCCGTTCATCATATTTTGGGTGGCGGAAAATGTATTGTTTGTGAAAGCTTTCTGTTCTTCTTTATGAAAGAAGTCTGACCTTCCTATTCAATTTGGAGTGTAAAAGAGATGTTTTTGGTGTTCGATATATTTTATTTTAGGGACGTTTACATACATACCAACCAATTACCACAAATTTGTGTATTTAACACCAAAAATGTTGCTTTTTGCATTTATAACACCCAAATCCTTCTTATCACATAAAAAATGACACTATTCTAACTTTTAAAGAGTGAAATACACCTTTTTCATTCATAGCTACGGTCTGGTATGTATGTAATAATTGGAGTTTAGGTAGGAATTGAGTGGTTCATATATGTAAATCTTCCTTTATTTTAAATTTGTTGTGTGCTGTTTGCAGCTGCTGATTTGTTTTTGTGGAGAGATAAGAAGATATCTTCTAGCGTCTTGGTTGGCGCAACACTTGTATGGGTTTTCTTTGAATGGCTTGATTACCATTTTCTCACTATTATATGCTTCGCTCTTGTTATTGGAATGGTTGTTCAGTTTGTTTGGTCTAATGCATCCGGCATAATTAATCGGTGAGTTTGTTTAATTTGAATGTAGACTTTGACCTGTTTGTTTGAGATCAATTTTGTTTTTTTTTCTTTTGTTTTTAAAAAAAACAATCTTACTTTAATCAAATAGCCAAACATATTTAGTTTCAAATCAAAACATAAACAAAACAAAATAAAAACTAAAGGTCGAAAATAAAAATTCAAAGGTGACGACCCCTAAGAGTTTCTAATTTCTTATATTTGCAGGTCTGCATCCGAAGTTCCCCGGCTTGTCTTGCCAAATGAGTATTTTGTGAATGCTGCTGTTTCTGTAGGTGCACAAGTCAACATGTTCTTAGCATTCATTCAGGATGTTGCATGCGGAAGAGACATAAAGATGTTTGCAATGGCATGTGATTTTTATCAACTTTATTTTTATTATATGTTATTATATATATAAACATTTCTTTTGAATAATTTTTTATTTTCAGCTTCAATATTGAGTGGAATTCTATAATTGGCTTTTAGTTTTGAGTTAAAGATGTAATTGGTAGAAACACAAAGCTTTAATTGCTAAGGGATGTAACACAAATATTACTAAAGGATGTTTTATTTTTTTCTTTTTTATATGGGTGAAGCTAAGAACCTTATTTATAACTATGAAAACTGAAAGCAAACAATTCATGCCTTACTTTCAAGTGACATTTACATACATACCGCCTAATTCCTATGTATTGACATATCTAACGCTTAAATTTTACTTTATACTTTTATACTACCCAAATCTTTCATATCACAACAAAAATACCACTACTTTTAACTTTAAAAACTGAAGTTTAGGTGTTAGATATCTAAATACATAGGAATTAAGTGTTTTGTATGTAAATCTTCCTACTTTCAAATGAATACATGAACAAGAACATGCCGACAGACAGACACGTTATGTTTATGACATCTCTTTATAGATTAAATTGCCTGTTCTGTAGTATTATTCTGACAGTTATGAAGTCAGTGGAGAGAATTCTTTAACTGAATTCGTGTTTAGAGTAAGTTTTTGTATTTCTACTCCACTTTCAAAAAATTATGATGCAAATGATACTTTGAAATTACCTATATTTATGCTTTTGTTCTATAGAAGACCAAAATTTCAACATTCAGTTTGAAGATATCCTGCTTTGTTTTCTTTGGCTTTCTAAAATAGACTTCCCTCTTGTAAAATTTCTCAGAGTCTTAATCGGACCCCTCGGTTATGCCATACTCGATATGATGCATTTTGTATTTTGTTAATTTTCAGACATGAACAACTTAAGTTAATGTGCAGGTTGTCCTTGGCTTGTGGGCAGCTGCTGTCATTGGAAGCTGGTGCAACTTTCTTACCGTCCTTTACATTGGTGAGTAAGCTTGTGTTGTCTGCACCCACATATTGAACTTTTGTAACTTCCTGTTTGACTTGCTCTGTTAATCTTAAGCTCACATTCTACAAGAAAAATTTAAAAATAGGCTGTGAAAGTCGAACTTATTTACTTAATCTTTAATATGATTGCCATGCTCGTATAGTTTCGTAGTCACTCTTAAGTCTATCTTTTGTGGATAATCTTTTAATTGATGAAACATCAAAATGCTCCATTGCTTGTTTTAAACTATGATAAAGCATATGATAATATTTACTGTAAAATTTTCAAGGAGAAGTGTTTTGAACTAGCCATCCATTTTAAAATTTATTACATTATTTTTCAACTTCATGTTTTGTGGAATTACGCTCATTATTATTTCTTTAATTCTATTTAAGTACTTGCTATATTTAGTCATAATATAAAAAGGGTAATTCTTTAATTATTAGTATTTATGTTTATTCCATAATTATAGGAATTACTTAATTGTATGGAGATTTCTTTCGTCTTTTTTATCTCTTGTACTCACCTATTTATAGGTGAATTATCTATGCATCAGTGAGAAAAAAAATTATTCAAAAATTCACATGGTATCAGATCCTCTCCCATTCGGCTCGATCACGACTCTTCTCTCTCGCGATCGTCGTCGTTACCGAGCGCTGTCCTAATTTGTGACTACCTTGATCGCCCGTATCCGAGCGCCGCTCCTCGACAGATCGCACCTCTCTCCGATCGTCTGCGTCCGCGTCGTGTCGGGCTTCTCCCGCGATCTCCTGCATCGGACCTTCCCGCGTCGCATCGGGCTTCTCCCGCGATCGAGATCTTCCGCGCTCTT